GCCGAAGTAAGGGTGTTCATTATTCAGACAAAAACCAAAATGCAAATCAATAAAAACCAAAATCTCTATTTGGTCCGGTTCTTAAATGAATATATGATCGGATTGTATTGAATTTTTTTTTTTAAAATACAGATTTTCAGATCGGACCGGATTGATCGACATACCCAAATTACGGAATCGTTATCGTGTTTAAAAAATGTTGTAGATATTGTAAATATTAATCATGTTACGTTATGTTTTTTAATGAAATAGTAGTAACCGTGTAAACCTATGTTCTCAAGACTTGTATAAATCACGTTCTACTATACTTCCAACAATTGAAATTAAATTATTGCAATTTTATTTACGGATTGGATCAAAAGAACCGAACTATAAATCGTATTGGATCGGATTGTAGATTTTTGACTTGATTCGGATTGCGGATTTTTGACAAGATTGGGAGTCCCGTCCGGCCCTAATCGGTGAAATCTAAATTTCGTTTGAAAAAATTAATTGGAGATTTTTAAACAACGATCAAAAAAATAAATTTAATGAAAGATCTCATTCATTTCATTGTTAGTTTAAAAAACATGACATAACAACGTTTTAGCAACAACAATAACAACACAATAGTTCATCCATACCCCACCTGAGTACACATGCGTCCTAATTAATATTTCTAAATACTAACATTAAACATGCACGTGAAGGAAACATAATTCAACATGGATCATGATTAATTTTTGACTAATTCTCCTAGAGCCCTCATTCTCCAACTACCCATTCTTGTCTAGCTCATCACTTGAAGCACATCCCCCGAAAAACATTCTTTGATTTCTTAATGGTTGGTTGAGAATTCTTGGGTCCACTACGAGCACCCTGCACACAGCATATGAATATAAATTGAATAAGAAAATACACTAATACTTTGTCAAACATTGAACTAATTAATTTAATGGTAAACTAACTTGTAATTCCTCTCACATTCCAAGTCACTATGCGGGTGTTGTGGTGGATAGGCATAACATTAGGTAACCAAGGGAGGGTAAGGACAGGATCAAGCCCAACTTGGACACATGGGTAATCTGGTGGATGCACGAATTATTGTTAGGATGAGGACACATGGGTAATCTGGTGGATGCACTACTTGGAAAGCATCGGTAAAATTACCCATGCACATTAAAAAAGCGTCGAACCCAAGCTTGAATGCAGGGTTAGAGAAATCAAGTTTAGGTTCAGGGTCAATGAGGTGTTGTAAGTAGTAGGGTAAGGTGTGATGTTTTTCAAGGAACCATTTGATAATCCTCTTGATCAACACCGGCAAACGATAGCCATCATCAATGCTAGGCAAGTGTGCAGGTCGGAGTTCATCTTGCAAATCAACTTACCTCATTTTCAACGTCGAGAACTCGGTAGTTATCTTAGTAGGGTTTAGTATGAAATTGGCGATTGTTTTTTTTTGAAACATACCACGGCAAAGGAAAATTAGACTATTCATGTCCTTTTCCGGGGTTTGGCCTTGGGGTGGTTCGAAAAACAAAAGAGCCTGGTTTCCATTCGGGGTTCTAGCAGCCCTTGGCATGGTGAATAGGGTGGACGTTGATTGGAGGGAGGCGATGATTAGTGAGGTAGTTTTATATGAGAGTACATACGTATTTAAGTGTAGAATTATGAGAATAGAGGAGAGTATGGGAATATCTTACAAGGAAAATATGTTGACTAAAGTTATAGATTACTTAAGATTAAACTGGTTTTAAATATAATTAACTGACACTTAAGTAATGTTATTAACTACGAAAATATCTTCTAATAAGACCATGATAATATTCCCTTTTTTTTGTAGTTATTTATTTTTATAAAATAAAACTGGAACTATTCAAATTAATACAATGACTTCCGAGAATAAATATTATATTCTACGCAAATATTACTGTGATTCTTCTTTTTGAAATTTTTTTGCTCTAACTTTTTGGAGTTAATATCGTACGAAGACACCCTTTGCAAAGAAGCAAAGAAGTGGAGTATAAAATCCTAGTGATAGTTACATCAATAACGTAAAGGTATGATAAGACAATTCAAGGGAGGATGGAGTTAGAAGTCATGGGGGCAGTGTTGTGTCAAAATGTTGGAAAGGAGCTTCAGCTAGATAAAATCGATTGGCTACAATTCTGCCAAATTGATTCTCCAAAGATACAACATTGGGTAGGTAAATAGGTATGTACTTATAGAAGTGCAAACCGAAAGTATTGAACCAGAATCCCAAAAAAAAAACAAAAGCAACATAATGGGTGTTCCTTCTCACAAAAATATAATTCAAGTTAGATATTTCCTCATTTAAAATAACAAAAAAATCACAAGATTTGCAATATTTGTCAATCATTAGTCATTAAAACTTATAATATAAAAATAGTTTTCCAAAAAATAAATAATTTGAAAAATGGTTTGAAGTAGGTTGACTATTATGTAATCATACTTGGAAAGGATTTTCCGCATTTTTTTAAACATAAAAAACCTAATTTTATGAAGTTTGAAGAATTATTTGTTTCCTAATTCATCTAATTACAAAACAAAAAGTATACTATTTTTTTCCAATAGCTAAGGACTTTATATTAACGATAAGATTGCATAAAATCTTTCAACTATCCTAATCAGTTGAAATTAGCTCTAATCAGTTCAATATACTCCTGCTCAGCCCCAACCTGTTCAGACTTTTAGAGTTGATCTCCAATCAATAAAGTATAGATCGATTAAATTAGGCATCGCTCCAATTACTACGAGTTTAGTACTGATCAAACTTAAGGTTTATATCGATTAAATTAGGCAGGTCCAGGCATAATGTTTACGATTTCAGTATTTAGGGTTTAAGGTCGTCACTGGATTTAGGGTTTAGGATTTATTTTTAGGGTGTATGGTTTAACCTCAAGGGTTCGGGGTTAGGGTTTAGGGTATAGGGATTAGGGTTTGATTCTATCGTTTAGGGTTTAGGGTTTAGGGTTTATCGTTTAGGGTTTAGGGTTTAGGGTTAGGGTTAGGGTTCAGGGTTCAGGGTTCAGGGTTTAGGGTTTTGTTTATCGATTAGGGTTTAGGGTATAGGGATTAGGGTTTGAGTCTATCGTTTAGGGTTTAGGGTTTATCGTTTAGGGTTTAGGGTTTATCGTTTAGGGTTTAGGATTTAGGGATTACAGTTTGAGTCTATCGTTTAGGGTTTATGGATTAGGGTTTAGGGTTTAGGGTTAGGGTTCAGGGTTTAGGGTTTTGTTTATCGATTAGGGTTTAGGGTATAGGGATTAGGGTTTGATTCTATCGTTTAGGGTTTAGGGTTTATCGTTTAGGGTTTAGGGTTTAGGGTTAGGGTTCAGGGTTCAGGGTTTAGGGTTTAGGGTTTTGTTTATCGATTAGGGTTTAGGGTATAGGGATTAGGGTTTGAGTCTATCGTTTAGGGTTTAGGGTTTAGGGTTTATCGTTTAGGGTTTAGGATTTAGGGATTACAGTTTGAGTCTATCGTTTAGGGTTTATGAATTAGGGTTTAGGGTTTAGGGTTAGGGTTCAGGGTTTAGGGTTTAGGGTTTTGTTTATCGATTAGGGTTTAGGGTACAGGGATTAGGGTTTGAGTCTATCGTTTAGGGTATAGGGTTTAGGGTTTATCGTTTAGGGTTTAGGGTTTAGGGTTTAGGGATTACGGTTTGAGTCTATCGTTTAGGGTTTATGGTTTAGGATTTATCGATAGGGTAGGGTTTAGGGTTTAGGGTTAAGGGTTAGTGATGGTTTAGGGTTTATCGTTTACGATTTAGGGGTTAGTTTATCGATTAGGGTTTAGATTTTAGTGTTTAGGGTTAAGGGTTTAGGGTTAGGGGTTAGTGAATAGGGTCGTCAGATTACGATTTAGCTTTGTAATGAGATACCAAAGGGTTTACGAGAAACAATCCTTATTAATCAATTGATAACATGGAATCGTACTTATTAGTAATAAATCCAGTCGTACTTATTACCCGTACTAGAACATTTTTTATGAGATTTGTTTATCCAATCACATTTTGGGGATACATTTTGTAGGTGATGCCATCGTACACTCACCTTTGTTGGCCAACAGTAAGAAGTTACCTCTCGATATAAAAAAAAAAAGTTAAAAGTGAATGTCGACTAGAAATGAGTTAATAGTTAATCTAAAAGGAAAAACTTGTAAATGAGTTCATTCTTTTATTAAACTTCCCACCCTAAAATTAATTTTATAATTATTTTTAAAAATCCTTAAACACTCAAATAATTCACTAAATAACAAGCTCATGAGTGGAGAGTAAAGAAAGTACCAACAACTGAAGAAACAAGTAAAATCTACCCACTAAACCCGAGATCCCAAATTAAGTATAAAATTATAATCAATCAAACAAACAATTAAATTACTATACAAGAGAACCCAAAAATAACAGAAGTGACTGAAAAAATTTGGATATTATGTGATGCTAACACGAGTACATTAATTTTGACGTGTAGAAAGATTTAGCAACTCCAATTAGTTTACACAGTTCTCCAATTTATTTGCAAATTGTATTACTTTATACGACGTTAAAACATAATTAAGTCATTCAACTTGAAAATAATAAAACAATCTGTACTATTACAATTCATATGGACTCGAAATCCATTAAATTGGAATTTGATTTCGATTTGCTTTTACGAATTAGACAACAGGGGCTATTATAGACATGCCTTGCAAAACAGGAATGGATACGTTCAAAAGTTGGTGATCTGATCTGTAGATATCTTTTTATCACAAAATCATGAAAAATAAGATGGGATAGGTCTGCGGATATGTAAGGCCTATTGACGTTCTAATAAGGCCAAAACCTACAAAAGTATGAAGAAAACCCACTGATTTGAGGTGCATGGGTTAGATAAATTAAAAAATAAATTTAAAAGTACCGTTAAGGCCAAAAATTGGGAAAGTAAAATAAAAACCCACTGAAATGAGGGCAAAAGATGAAGGAAATCACATGTATCAATGCTAGCACTAAAAGAGTATGTGTAAAACCGTGAAGCAAAGTTCATAATCAAATATTGACCAGCATTGCAATGTAGATATGGACAGACCTTGTACGATTATTTACCCCTTCTCTACCACAGTAAAAATAAAGGGTGTAAACCCTAATAGGACTCTTGTTATAAAAAGGGCTTTGTTGGAACAGAAAAAAATCACAACTAACACAATCAAAGTACTATTATCTTCACAAAAATGAAGCCTTCCCTTAATCCATCCTTGTTATCCAACAAATCCAAAGTATCCTCATCCAATGGATCATCATCCAACGGCTCGCATGCACCTAACAAAAAAGGGTGGGAAGAAAGCCAACCGTCTCTTAAGGACAACCTTGAGCAACAATGCTTTTGAAGCCCTCCATAACCCATTACCACCAATCCTGTACAAGTACCATGGTGTACAATTGTGAAAGTCAAGAAGCAGATGCATGCTGGCCTAGTTGGCAGTCGTTGTGCTAACCACAACCCCGAAGAAGTCATCGTAGACCATGATGATATTCCTAAGGAGAAAAATCTCCGTCGACCTGCGCGGAGCAATAGTCCCACTCCCATACTGAAGCTTGACGACGGCAACAAGCCTAGAATTGGGCGGTTCAACGTCCATTACCTCGTTGTTTCAAGCAAACCCTTAACACACTTCAGAAAAGGTTCCCACCTAACAAAGTAATAACTAATGGATGTGACAAAAGGAGCTAAACAACAGTTCAATAGTCTTAAGGATAAGGAGCTAAACGATACGACGACATAACAAACATCCCGACGCTATCACAATACAAACAGTTCGGATAATGTCAAAGATTCTATAACACAAATTATCCTGATCATAACATAATCACCATTCAACTGGGTTGTATTCAGAATTACATTAAAACCTCTTCTTCTTCTTCAAAACATGTAGCCAATTTCACAGTAGTATTCCTGCTATGTTTCTTGTATTTCCTCCTTCCCTGCGAACAGCACACAGGGGCAATGTCAAGTACTGGTTCTAAATAATTACAGCAAACTCAAAGTATCATAGCGTACGTCACGAATGAGAATTCAATTACCTTAGCCGGCACAGCGGTAACCTTTGGTATCATAGCACGCATAGCACTCAGAGGTAGGTCCATTTCCATATTCGTATCTGCATCTCCAGGCTGCACATCAGATGTAGGCTGCACATCCTTTCCCTTGAGGCATAGCAGTGTTAGTTTGATAGAGAAATTCAGAAGAGTGGTAAATTGGAGTACTCAATGAAGAAGAAATGAAGAAGAAGTGTGCACTGTACCTGTTTCTTTTTTGTGGATTTGTAGCCTGTCTCTGAGTAGGGTTTGTTGCGAGATCCTTTAGGCCTCCCTCGACGTCTCTTTTTGACATTGGGATCAAGTAAGTGCTGGCTCAATTCAGGTACATGGGTGTGCTGACTTACCACTTGGTCAGGAACTTCATCACAGTCCACAACCTCATGACTATTTGTGATCATTTGTTTTCTGACAGAAGATGGAGTTTGCAAGCTACTCGTGGATCCTTTTCCGGAAGTGGGATATTGTGTGCTAGGGAGAGTCATTACACCATTTGCTTCGATGAACTTCTTCCTCCGATCACTGACATCAATCTTGAGCTTAGACAGAGTAGACGTGACCATCTCAACTGTATCATCATCAACCATCGATGCTTCATTACAAATAGGTTCGAACAGATTCATTATCTTGTTGAACCTTTGAACCTCCTTTGTGTCGGACGAATCGTGATAGGCAACCTTGACCCGAGTGTGCTTTCTTATAACATCCTTGCGCCACTGGTCCAAAATATACTTTTTCGGTATATCAAACACTAGGTTTTGGTCTAGGACACGGATGCAATGCTTGCATAGGATCCCAAAAGTTTCGAATTTACAGCAATCGCAAATCACCTCTTTTGACTCTCAACTAAACTTCACACAGTATATGCGCCTTCTGTCAGTGATAACCTCTTCACTCAGACCTTCCGGAACCACCCACACGCGATCCTCAAGGTAGTAATGGACAGTATTATCATCAACAACCCTTTCCTCCCTCCCATAACAATACATCATCCTCGACAATTCTTTTTGGATCTCTTGGAATTTGGCATCTGTGTAAATTTTTTGATAAAGTCTCTCAACCTTAAACCAACTAACCAACCTTCTAACATACTTTGTTGATCTGCATCAGCTTCAGTTCCATCTTCGACTCGTTTAGTCATCGCTCTGGTGTATTTCTGGGGAAACTCAAAAAGCTTGGTCTTCCGGTTCACAAACCCATCAAAAAAGTTATTGATGCTCTCCACCCTTTGGGTCGTTTTCATACCACCCCAGAAGTGCTCTTTCATAAAGCATGGAACCCACATATGATGCTCATTGAACAAATCCTGAAGCCATTCATTTTCTTCAAGTTCGTATTGCTTAATACAAGCACACCAACGGAGCTCAAACTCATCTACAGTAAAGCTTTCATAAATGAGAGCCTTTAGTGGACTTTTGAAGTCATTGTACCTAGTCAGTACCAGGCACAACAAATCAAACCATAATAAAAGCTTTTAAAACACATATTAGTAAATATGACAGCATCCATTACTACATATTATTACTCATGACAGCTAAAAATTTAATTAAAACATGAAACAAGTTATGAACAAATAGGCAAAATGTTATAAAAAGAGGTTATACATGAAACAAGTTATGAAGAAATATTGTTCTCACTTTTAATTTTTATTGGAAAGGTTTGGTTCTGTTTAAGGTATAAATGTCTAGGTCCTGTATATACCTGTGTAACAGCATCACATTGCAGGCTATGGTTGAAGCATATTTTTCCACTTGGTTGGCCATCAAGTAAAAGAAATTGATTGTGCACTTGGAAAATAGGAAAGCATCAGATTTTGGAGGGAATAGTTGTAGACACCTAAAAATGTCTCCCCAAAACCAAACCCGATGATGAACAACCTTTCACCGCCACTATTGGTCGGGTTTAGTATATAATCCCAAGAGTGCTTAAAAAATTGTATTTTATTAAATTCATATTTTTGAACAGTCCATGGATTAGTCTTGATGTTTGGTAAAAGCATAGTTTTAATTTTAGCCCAAACTTATTAATTAATTCTAGCCCAAAGCTTTTTTATTTTATTGTTTTATTATTTGTTTTTGGCCCAAACCCTTTATTTATTTTTATTTAATTATTTTCTTATTTTAGCCCGAATAATAAAAAGTCAGAAAAGGCCCGAAATTATCAATCGGCACTTAAAATACCGAAAGAAATTAGGGTTAAAATTGTATTTAGACGGAAAAACGGGCTGGAATTTCCCACGCCACGGCAGGTACCTACCGTGTCACGGGAATCCTTCCCGTCTGACGGTGGGATTTCCCGTGACACGGGACATTCCGTGTCTTTTCCGCGTAAACCCTTAACGCGTTTTTCATTCCGTTTTCTGAAAATTTCCCGCGTCACTCCAAAACTGACCGTGTCACGGTACAGTCTGACCGTGTCACGGGATACTTTTTTAGGTTTTTTATCATTTTAGGGTTCCATGTGCTCCCTCAGCACATTTTCCCTATAAATACCCCCTCATTTCTGATGTACGGGACCGAGTAATTCTCTGATTTTATTTTCTCTCTTCTATGCTTTAGCCTAAACACTAGCCTACCCTTTTCACTTCAAAATTCCTTCTTCAAGCACTCAAAGAAGTTCATATTTTACTCGAGGTTCTGTCCTTAAGTCAAGGCGTGAAAGGTAGAACTGTTTGAGGGTTTGGCCCCAAAATCAACTTTATTTAATTTAATTTAATTTAATTATTGTTTATTTATTTCCTTGAAGTTACTAACTCGTTTATTATTTTGTAGTTGCAAACAAACAGAATCAAAGTAAGGATCATGCTCCTTTTATTTTTATTATTTTTCTAACAATTTTATGTTGTTGGAATTGTGATTAATTTGGTTTTAATATTAATGTTATTCTATTGATCACCATGTTGCATGTTAAAGGGAATATGTAATTGAAAATCACGCCTAATAAGATAATTTGGACAACCGGTTTAGGATCCTTTTAATCTTATTATTAATTGAAGTGATCACCAATATTTTAGAATTATGTGTGCATTAATATTAAACCAATTTAGTTAAATAATAGTTTGGAGCGAATTGAATTATTGTTTGTATGCCTTTGAGATCACAGGAATGCTTTTCAATATAAGAATCGAGTAGAGGCCCATACGGGCGAATGTGACTCCATGACTCACTTCGTACCATCATCCCCGATCCTCCTTTCGTGGTTCCGAACCATATGGAGTTAGTAATCTCATGGATTATGAATGGGGTGTAACCTTCAAGGGTCAATCGTTGTTGCCTATCGTTGTCCCTTATCGTGGTTGTCTTTTATGATCCGTGAACGGTTTACAAGTTCCTTACAAACTTGTTGGCGGCTCCCTACTTTCCTTGTCCCTAATCGTATATGTCAATTCCCACTTCCTATGAGTGCCAAGCATATTCACCACATGCTTTAACGTAGGCGCACTTCGAACGACGCCTGCAATAGCGTACCCTCATTAGAGTCACGTGTCAGCTTATGAGCATCACTTGACCTCTTAGTTACAACAATTCTGATTTCCCTTTCAGAATAGGCATGTTGTTAAAAACTTTTTTGGTATAAATGAGGGATTTAATGAGTTAAAAATTAGGCATGTTGTTATTGGGGAAATGTATAATTGAGGGATGTAATGAGTTAAAAAATAGACATGTTGTTATGAACATTTTTAGTATGAATCTGCAATCCCAAGTTAAAAAAAAGGAAAAATACAGGGCCCATGCTGAAAGGGAAATAAGCCTAGCTACAAGCAGTGTACAACAATTAAAGTGAGGAACACTAAATCATAAGACAGTATCCAAGAACAAAATCAATTCATTATACGATGATGCAGGATGCAGGAGGCAGGGATTACATATCAGTAAAATTACCAAACAAAACATGATGTATGAGACACATTTGATAACAATCCACATTAGAACAACAACAACTTTAAGATAATTGCAAAACAAACAACCGCTTCACAACAAATTTTGAATATGATGTCGCAATAAAACAGGGCAGAATTTATGCAATACACTGATGTGGGAGAAATGAAAGTGCAGCAGTACTTCTAAGGTTTCAGATAGAATTAAAGGATCAACAGAATTAAATGATGCAGTACAAAGTCCACTCAGGCATCTAAAACAGCCAGGCCAGTCAAGTGAGGTATCTAGAACAGCTAGGACATGAATTACATAATAAGTAACAGAAAGGTGGTACATACAAATTAATTCTACAAAAACAAGTGCAGGTTTACCAGGATTTGGTTAAAGATAAGAATAGAAAAGAAATCACTTACCACTTGCATTTGCCAAGCTTGTCGCCAAACTTACTCATAATGTGCCATATGCACCACCTATGTCGAGATGAAGGCATAATATCAGCCAGTGGTCTCCTCATTGAAGCTGCTTGGTCAGTAAGAATACCTAATGGTGGACGGTTGCCCATGCACGATAGCCATTGTTTGAAGACCCAAGCGTAGGTCTCACAAGTCTCATGTGACACAAGGGCACACCCCAATAGAATTGACTGTCCATGATGATTGACGCCGACAAAATTTGCAAATGGGAGCTCGTACTCGTTCGTCAAATACGTTGCATCAAAGCATACAACGTGCCCAAAGTGATCATAAGCAGCCCGGCTCCTTGCATCTACCCACAACACATCCTTGAGCCGGCCTTCTTCATCCAAACGATGTGCATGGAAGAAGTTCTGGTTGTCGGCTTGCATCTTTTCAAAATACCTCATCATAGCTACAGCGTCCCCACCCTCCATTTTCAATCTCCTCTCCTTGTACACCTCGTGTTGCAAATCCTTTACGTTAGGCAATTTATCCTTTTCATGGGATAAACCCCCACGTATTCGAGAAACAGGAACACCCTCCTCAACAAAGTTGAAAAGCCTTTTACGAACCGTTGAAGTGTAATTCTTCATTCGATATTCTTTCACCAGATTTGCCTTGCTAGGGGTGGGTTTATGTCCTTTGTGTTCAAGGTGCACAGATCTTATTACCCATTCTCCTTTGCCGTTAATACTAGCATAAACTTCTACTTCACAGTGACACTTTTTTTATTTTCGTTGGCCCTTTTTCAGCTCATCTTGCCCTATCACACCATTGACATTGCCCCCGGTTCCACTAACATCCATGGCCTTCGCCCTCTTCTTTGCCTCCCTTTGCGCCCTCATATCAGGGGCACCCCAGCATTCACACCTCCAAGTAATGGCCCTACGCTCTCTAGTTTTATCTTTGTACGCACTTGAAACCCTACTAACTCCAAAACCATGTTGTTCTGCATACTGTTTAAAGTGGGCCTCAATATCCAGCCAACTTTTGAAGACCATACTCTCTGCTGGTGGATCTACTACATAAGGCACATCATTGTTTGTTGAGACAACTGTCTCCACAGTCTGCACAGTACGGACAGTCTGGATTGGGGAATAATAGACCTGTGCCCCCCTGGGGATTAAACTTGGGGAGATTGGAGGCAGTTGCAGCCCCATACCCTCCCCAACATCTATCCATATAATCAAAGTCAGAACAACCAGACAATGAAACCGTAGCTATGTCTGGGTCATTGATGTCATCAGCCAAGCTAACACAATTTCCATCACTCAAGTTTTCCATGCAATTACCACATCCATCATTTTCTTCATTCAAAGACATCTAAACATAAACCAAGCACAAAAAATAAATAAAAGGGAATTTCTAATATCAAGTAATTACTCAACTGTAACAAAACATAACATATGGCTCCATAGGTTACATAGGATAATGCCAAGGCACTTACACACAACACATTACTGCACTAACAACAATTCTAATATCAAGGGAGAAAAGCAACACATTAAAGCACCAGGATTGCAAGTTCTACACACTGACCATACTGAAACTGTTCAGCCAAGGCACTGAAATTAAATTATGATACAGAACATGCGTCAACACTCAATAAGACTAAATTAAATGAGCAATAATATTATTTCTCTGGACACACACACACACCGGCATTATATAACCCAAAAAAACACAAAAACAGAATTTTACAAATCACCTATACAACACTAAACAATCCATAAAGCAACCGAGCTACCAACACACCATATACAACGACTTTGGCAAATAAGCTACAATTATCCACGAAAAATAGAAGAACCAGGTGAAAAAAGCCATCCAATTTTGTTATTTGGAATTAATAATCAACCAAAAATTGGTAGAAACGAAAACTTACCTTCGTCTCTGCGAGATGTAACAACCACGGATTCACAGATCTTAAACCCGTTCCCAGATCTATCGAGCTTGGAACTACAAGCATCCCCTTCGCATATCTAGCAAGCTTGAAACTTCATCTCTCTCGCACTGGGTTTTCGGATTTGATGGATTTGGTACTTCTCTCTCTACCAGAGACAATTACCAGTAATTTTAGAGGTACTAAATTGTTAACTCAAGTAAAATTACCGTGGTTGGGGTTGATAGTTACTGTGGTTAGGAGTGGGAGTTACCCCGACGGACGTTTGTTACTTGCCGTTAGATTGTTTGTTAGTGCCTGAAGCAAATGTCAGATACTTCACAGTACTTTATTATTGTTTATTGGCCAAGCACGAACTCCAATGCAATTTTATTACGAAAATGCCATGTGCTAAACTTTGTTAGTTTAGCACAGTTATAAACTTGTATTTCCTCATTGAAAATTTATCCTTAGATTAAAAATTGGAACAAATTACATTCATCTATTCATACATAATACTATTTTCCCGAATCCCCCCACCAAAAAAAAAAACCAACACACACACAAGTAAATCATTCTTGACAGAACTTGATCTTGTAAGAAACTTGGGGACAATAACTCTTGCGTACAGACTCCTACAAAATCCCATTGCTACAGCTACAAAATTGTGATTTTGTACACAACAATAAACTATAAATGAAAATATTTCTTGCTGTATCTTTACAATTAGTTCCAGAACAAATAAAAAGCAAATTAGCGGCATTATGCTTGTAATGATACAGCTGAAGACTCTGTTGTAGGTACATTTTTAACCTTCTTGTTAGAAACCTCTGAAGACTTCTTAGATTTTCGTTTTTTTGAGCCCTTTTTCTGATGTGTCTTCACAGCTGGTTCGGTTGCAGAGTCTTTTTTTGCATCCACTGGATCACTGGATATGTCCTCTTTATCTACTTTCTTGTCAGAGTTGTTTTCTATATTTCTTCTTTCACCCTCGGGCTCAATAACTGACATGCCAATGAGTGTATAGTCTAACAAGAATGTACTTCTTTCAAGCCTATCAACCCTGCTAAAGTGCCTCTGAGAATAAGGGATGAGTCCTTCAAGAAGTTCTCCTATTCCTTTCACCTGTACATTGTACATCCAAGACCATTCAATAACAATTTAACAGAAATAGAAATAATATTCCATTTCATTAGTATCTGAATTCAAACACCCCTGTAGAACATATTAATTGTTGGCTATAGTGGATTCAGAACAATAACGTACTATTGACATCTTGCTTTGACACCAATGCATGGTATACTCAAGAATCCCCTAGTACTAAGATAAGCAAAATTAAGGTGAACCAAACAAGGCCTAACAGTGTGTTTTGGATAAAGAAAGGGGAAGGGAAAGAGGGGCAGCAGGGGAGAGGGAGGGAAGGGAAAGGGATGAGAGCGAAGAATGATGAGTTTTTATTCCAAATCTCTTCATTGTTGGAGGGATCAATTTCTTTAAATTTCATCCCTCCATTGTCTCCCCTTCAATTCTCTTCCTTTCTCATTTGTTAACCAATGAAAAATACTCCACCCCTCCATTTATCTTCCCTTCCTTTCCCTCCATCTCCTTCAATCCAAGCAAGCTTTAAGTTTAAGATTTGATGATCCTTTGATACAATGAATTGGCAACACTTTCTAGAGTTTTGTGTACTTTTAGCTCCAATTTGTGCACATTGCATTTTATAACAACAAAACTATTACTCCCTCTGATCCATAATAATTAACAGATGTTGCCCTTTTTCACTATTCATATGTTTAACTTTGATTATAACTTTTACAAAGATATTATAAACAAATGTTATTATGTAAATATGTTGTTAAGTATATATTAGTACGAAGTTTCATAATATCAAGCTTTTTATAAAATTTATTATTTAGGGTTAAGTGTGTCAAATTTTATTGTGTCAATTACTAGGGATCGGAGGGAGTATTGATGATCACAAAGATGATTGAGGGGGGCGAGGGATTACTTGTGCTTGAGATCAATAATGTTTTATTAATAACTAGGAGCTCAAGCATAATTTTCTTTGTTGTACCCAGCCCAGATTCAATTCAATGAAAATGTCTCACAATAAAATTACCCACCTCAACAATATCCGTAGGGGGAAGCATACTGAAAATCTGAAAAAGCACAAACTGAGCATTATGACACAGCTTTGGCTTAGTATTCCACTCTCGAATATATTCAAAAAGTTGTTGCATTTCCTCCTTCCCAAGATGCAAAAGAGCTTTCTTCAAATGATCGACAGCGTCTTTTTTCCTGAGAATATATTGGAGATACAAAGACAATGTAGATAGAATATCAGAATGTGTGCACAAAATACATTATTTAACACCTTAAATAAGCAACGGATTAATGTTGTATGACAGGCATATTAGGGCATACAAGTAACTAACCTGCAAAGTTCTGAAAGAAGTTCATATAGCCTGTGAGGCCTCCTTAGCTCAAAGGCAATCTGGATTGCTTTAGCATAATCAGCATCAGATATTGCATTCTCAAGCTCTTGACCACGCAAAACCCCTTCTTCCTGAATTAAGAACACAATTGACTCATGAGACAGTTATATAGTAGGAAAAGCTATCCAAAAAAAAAGACATGCAATGTCAAAGATGGCTTTTTCATAAGTACACAAACAAGTATCAGAAAAGCAGTCGAAAGGGAAAAAAAAAAAAAAAAAAAAAAAAAAAAAAAAAAGACAGCCAGTGAAAATCTCAAGTTTTATGGATGAAAAAAAGAGTTACAATAGGATGAGGAGGGGGCAGTCATACATCTAATTATAAGATGCAGCACCAGGTCTCAGAAGACACTGAAAAACTCATCTGATAGACACATGAAGTTTGATCAAAGAACATCATTGACAATCAGAACTAAAAGAAAAATATACACTTAGCTGTTCTAGAAACTAGATCAATCCAATGACATCAAACAGACAAGATTAACTAAGAATTAATTTTTACTTTATATGCCACACATGGTAAGTTACAGAAAATACACCTCTTTACGAAAAGCCTCTTCCTTTTCAGCTGCAGTTGAATCATTCCATATATTAATAACTGCATCACCACCTCCTGTAGCCAGCATTTCTGTCTTCTTTCCAATTGCCAGGGCCCATACCTGAAGCTCACAAATAGATTCAATCAGGAGCATTACAAATCTAATTGACAAAGACATGCAAAAACTACAGCTTAGTAGCATTAGGAAAATCCAAAGGAATACCCCACCTCAAACACATTCTACAAAGAGATGGGGAAAGATACCATAAAGTACTGCAACCAAACAGATCACTGTAGCTCACAAGATAAAAGGCAGACAATGTGGTAAGCTACTATGTTCCCATAACATAAAACAATATGGTATGGAATACCAAATATCCAACCCACATGCCAAAAGAGGTAATTCCAAGTTACATGACTATGTAAATAAAGAGACATTCTTCAGGAGAAAGGCCCTTTTTTCTGCCCATCAAATATACTTATATTCATTTGCAAATTGCAAGGTCTTTTGAGTCTTCCCCAACAAGGTGTCTAAGAAAGTGCCTTACACTTCTAGAATGGAGATGAAAATAAACAAACATTAAGAAAGTAGACGCATTTGCAGTGGAAAAAAAAATAAAAAAATTGAAATCTAAGTCACTCTTTTAAAAGGAGAAAATTTGAATTATAACTCTGTTAGAACCCCCAGTAAATTAGCTCGCCATAATTTGCACTCCTAAGGATTGGCTTAAAAAGTGAAACTCATGAAAGAACATCACTCTCTCTCGTTAGAAACTCCTAAATCAGGGCTTCATGTAATGTATAGAGGAAAAAGATGGAAGAAACAGGAAAAAAAAAAGGCTGTTCCACTTCCTCCAAAAGACTCCCTAAAATCTGTGCACATTTCCCATCCCATAAAGCCAACCACAAAGAGAAAAATATATATATAATCAACCAATTTGTATAGAAAGTGTCAGAGTGTCATTTAGAAGAAGCTTGTTAAATTTTACAGGGCAACAAAAATCATTAATAACTCCAATATGCAAAGAAAGATTAAATGTGAAAAGAAACAGAACCTTGTCCTCATGTTCATCATAAGTAGCAATGCATTCGCTACTTGTTACTGCCCAGAGCTTCAGTAATCCATCAGCTCCTGGAAAAGAGGCCCCATATTAGTTATGGAATAAACAAAACAACTTCTCAGGAGACTAAGAAAGATAATGCCTGCATACCACTCGAAACAAATTGAGTCCCACGGGTAATGAAAGATGCTCTCAATACACTAGATGTATGTCCTTCAAATGTTTTTAGACATGAACCATCAAGAGTCCACATTTTTATTGTCTTGTCTCCAGATGCTGTCAACACACATTTATCAACAGGAGAAAACTCTACAGACCAGATTCCTCGTTTATGGCCCTTGAGTTTTGCAACACACACAAGGTCTGGAAGCTTCCATATACAGGCAGTACGATCCTGCATAAAAGAACATTACCTTACTGCTCTGAGTTTGGTCCATAAGCAAAAAAACCAAATAACGAAATGCAACATATTGATTCTGTAAACAGCAAATCACACCCACTTTTTTTTTTTTCTTTTCTGGCTGGCAAAGAAAGTGTTCCATGAACTCCAATAGGAAAGACATGAGGCCTCACAACAGAATCTCATCAAGCAGTGCATCAATTTTACAACCAAAAGGACATGAACAACTGATTGGTATTTAATACCCCCCCCCCCCCCCCCAAACCCCTCAGGACCCCATTTTCCATATTGTCATGAATTATGTCAGAATTGTTTATTTCCACATGATGATTCTGTTTGAATCTAGCTAATAAGGAATGTGGAAAAAAAAATCAAGATTTTAGGGAAAAAATGTAGGGCAAAATACAGAATCATTAGACAGAAAATGGAATGATAAAGGACACTTGAAAGAAAAATTTATAGCCATCAATATCTTGATCAAAGCTGAAATTTTCAACAGGCAGAGCCTTACACATCAAAATACTGCTGCAGCTTTACTCCCATCCAGAACCCCTCTTTGCAATACCATCTCATTTTACCCAGAAACAACTCACTAAGATTCACACTTCCACAATCACTCATCCAAAGAATATGAGAGTATCTCTGTTATATTTTATCTTTGAACCTGAACTAATGTCAAAAATTATAATGAGTTTAGTAATTACATGTACAATTTTGACTGTGTTTCTTATTATAATTAATGTCACAAATTATTATGAGTTTTGACCAATTAATAGTAAATACATGTACAAATTCTGGCTGTTCTTTAACAATTTTAGATATCCTGCATCAAAAGCAGTTAACTAACCTGAGAACCACTACAAACATA